CGATTTACTAAATACAGGATGCCATAAGACATTTTCTGAAGAAGGGTCTAGGCCCGAAACGTCAGCCTTCCTGCTCCTCTGATGCTGCTTGGCCTGCTGTGTTCATCCAGCTCTACACCTTGTTATCTCACTTTGTCAACATGTCAACTTTATAGTTGTTGAAATATATTAATTGAAATGTGCAAATAATTGGGTCTGGATTTGGTATCCTTCTAGCTTTCCAAATTACGCATTCATGATATGTCTGTGTCTGTGTCTCATTCTCTTTCTCTGTTCTCCTTTTCTCTCTTTCCTCCGTTTGGTTGTTTAGAATCTCATCAACTGTGATCGCTCAAACTATATCAGTTTATTCTTCGATGCAGCTTGGAGTGTCACAGCTGGCAAAAAATAATGACCTCAAGCATAAGCATTTAGAAGAAGCTGAGACTGAATTAAACTTGATAAAAGGCAAACAAGATATTTTAGTAGAGAAAATTTAATTGAGATAATTCGAGTGCACCTTTTCTCTTCATACTTGGGACGTGGTGGAGTTTTTAAAAAAAAAGTTGGCAAAAAGCAATTAGGAAATCTTTGAATGCCTCGTAACTAAGTTAGTAATTTTGTTTTGCTGCCTCCTTTGCCTTTTTCCTGGGATTCTAAACTCCATCGATTACACATCTAGAGTAAGGTTGTAGACATGCTTGCCAAGCCGGTTTCACAATGTTTCGTCGCCCTGCTAGGTAACATCGTCAGTGCGGCTCCGGTTAAGCGTAGGTGTTCTCTCCCACTTGTTATTTATATGCCTCAATTTGTTGGGGTGTTTAGACCCTGTGTGCAAACCAATGTGTTTGTTGGTGGAGTTTGGGTTAGAATACCAGGCCTCCCGGAATTCTCTAGTGTCTCTCTGTTTTGCTTGTGTGATTATGGATGCAAAACCGGTGTAATATACAAAAGACTGTGCAAGGACTGTGAGAAACACTACATAGGCCAAACTGGAAGAAAACTGACAATACGGATACACGAACACTTAGAGGCACGACCAATTCTCACTTGTCTCACTACACATGGACCACCAGGGATATGAATTTGGCTGGGACAACATATCCATAATCGCACAAGCCAGACACAGATACCAGGGAATTCCTGGAGGCCTGGTATTCCAATCTGAACTCCATGAACAAACACAATGAATTAGACCCTTTGTACAAGCCACTGAGAAGCAGCACTGGAAGTGGTACCAAACACCCCAATACACTGAGGCATACAAATTACAAGTGAGACAGAAGACCGACGCTTGACCGGAGGCGCACTGACGATGTTAAGTAGCAGGGTGACCAAACGTTTGCAACCAAACCCACTGGCTCGACGAGTATGTCTTACAACTTCACTCTCAACCCAAGCTACAAATCTTCTTAAACTTTAAACAACATCCAGAGTCCTCAACAGCTCCTCATGTGATAAACCTTTCATTTCTGGGATCGTTCTTGTAAACCTCCTATGCAACTCCTTCAGTGTCAGCACATCCATCCTTGGGAATGGGGCCTGTAACTGTTTGTAATATTCCAAATGTGGTCTGACCAGAGCCTTCTAGAGCCTCAGTGGTATATCCGTGCTCTTGTATTCTAGTTGTCTTGGAAATGAATGCGAACACTGTTTGCCTTCTGAACTGCCAGCTGAACCTGCATGTTAACCTTGAGAGGATTCTGAGCCAGAACTCCTGAGTCCCTTTGTGCTTCAGATTCCTAAAGCCTTTCCCCATTTAGTAACTAGTCGAGACCTCTATTCCTAGCAAAGTGCATAACCTCACTCTTTTCCATATTGTGTTCCATCTGCCACTACTTTGCCCTCTCTCCTAGCTTTTGGCAGCCTCCTGCTTCCTGACGCTATCTGTCTCTCCACAGTCTTTGTTATCTGCAAACTTAGCAACAGTGCCCTCGGTTCTTTTGTCCAGATCGTTAATATATAATGTGAATAGTTCTGGGCCTGACGCGGAACCCTACGAAACTCCACTAATCACCAGCTGTCATCCTGAAAAGGACATCTTTATCCCCACTGTCTGCTTTTTGCCAGTCAGCCAATCTTCTGTCCATGCCAGTACCTTGCCCCTAACAACATGGGCTCTTATCTTATGTAGCAGCCTTCTGTACAGGACCTTGTGAAAGGTCTTCTGGCAATCCAGATAGATACTTTGTCTAACTTGCTTGTTACCTCCTCCAAAGAATCCTAACAGATTGTGTATGACAAATCTCCCATTGATGAAGCTGTGCTGACCCAACCATATTTTGCCATTCACTTCTAAGTACTCCGCGCACTCATCCTTAATAATGGACTCTAAAATCTTACCAGCGACCAGGATCGGACTAACTGGCCTTTGGTTTCCTGTTTACTGCCTCCCTCCTTTAAACTGGGGTGTTACATTAGCCATTTCTAGGCCTCTGGGAACCTCCCTGACTCCAATGATTCCTGAAAAATCATCAAAGTGCCTGTCAAATCTCCTTGGCTATCTCCTTCAAAAGCGTGTGGTGTAGTCCACCTTCAGACCTTGCAGTTTCCCCAGCACCTTGCCCTTTCCCCAGCACCTTGCCCTTTCCCCAGCACCTTGCCCTTAGCGATAGCCACTTTAACTGCCCCCCCTTTAATTGTCATGAAGTTCTGGTAAGCTGCGCGTGTCTTCCACTGTGAAAATTGATGCAAAGTACCTATTCATTTCCTATGCCATTTCTTCGTTCCCCATTTACTACTTTATCCAGCCTCACTTTCCTGTAGTCCAGTATCCACTCTTGTCTCTCTTTGAGATATCTAACAAAACTCTTGCTATCTTCTTTTGTATTACTACCTAGCTTACCTCCTATTTCATCTTCTCCCCCTTGTTGCCCTCTGCTGGTTTTTAAAGGCTTGCCACTAATCTTCACCATATTGTATGCTTTTTCTTTTGCTTTTATGTTGTACCTGACTTCTCCTGTCAGCCACGGTTGCCTCATCTTCCCTTAACCATGTCTCCTCTTCTATAAGACTCCTTTAAACATGTTTCAAACTTTCCATCCCGTCACACTTACCTGTTTGTGTCAGACTTTGACATCTGCTTAAAAGCAACATACTGTGGATGCTGGAGCTGGTAGCATCTGTGGACAGAGAAACAGTTAATGTTCCAAGTCCAATGTGACCCTTCTTTGCGGAGAACTGTACTGGACTTGAAATGTTAACTCGGTTTTTCTCTCCACAGATGCTGCCAAACATGGTGAGTTTCTCTCGCGTTTTGTTTTTTTTTTTGAGGTTTACTTTATGTTTATAAAAGCCAGAATTACTTCTGCTGCTGGACATCTGAAATAAAGAATGAAAGAAATGTCTATGGATCAGGCAGTATCAAGGGAACAGAAAAAAAAATGCATATTGCCTGACCTGAATATTATCAGCATTTGCTATTCATGCCTTTTAGCAATGTCAGCTTTTAGTCTCTGTGTGTGTGTGTGATATACATATTAGCTGGTGCTGCTAAAATATGGATATATTGCTTATAGTGGATTTTTAAAAATGCATAATGAAAAGACACTCCTGTTCTTTATCAGAAACTAAAACTATGACAACTATGACAAAGTAAGAACCTGATTTTTAAAAAAAAATAGAATATTTGCTTTTCAATTTAATCTTTTTCATTTAGACTTGTTAAAATATAAAATTTATTTTCTCTTTTCAGGGATATTCTCACTGTGTGGATGTTTATATAAAACAGTGCCAGGAGGTAATCTGTTTTAAGTCCTCTTTGTGTGTGCTTGTTTCTGTTTTGGTTTTATTTGCATAAAAATGTGTTTGTGAAATTCTGACTGCATTTTCTGTAATACCATAATCTTTTGATTTTGTAGTGTAGTTAAAATCTTGTCTGTGCAGGGTTCATATTTCAGGAATGATTTATTTGAAGATACAGCTGCATTATGCCAACGAGTAAATAAAGAAGTTCGTGAAGTCTTCAGCAGCCCAGAGAATGTGATGGCCAAACTCATACAGAACATTTTTGAAATTAAACTTCAGGTAAGAAGTTTACTATTGCAGATAAAATTTCATGTATTTTTTAAAGAGGTAAAATCCAAGCTCTGTGACTTTCTACTCGGAGTTTAATGGATGCATAGAATGGTTAAAACATTGAAGGAGGATGATTACTTTGGCTGTCTGCACAGCCAACTCCCCTAGTTTCATTCACCCACCTTTTCCTCAATCATCTGAAGTTTTCTTGCTCCACATATTTATTCATTCTCTTTTGAAGATTTCAATTAATTTTACCTCCATTTCCCCCTCAGGTAGTGCTTTCTGGATCCTAACAACTTAATTTGTAAAAAGGGTTTCCTCAGGCAATGTTTGCATCTTTTGCCAATCAACTTAAATCTGTCTTTTACTTTTACTTTTTGATTTTTCTGGCAGTGAAAACTGCTTTTCTCTATCTACTCTATCCAGAACACTGTCAGTTTTGAGCATCTCTATCGTATCTTCTCAAAGTCTTCTCTTCTCCATAGGGAACCACCTTCAATCTATTTTCAAACTGTACATCCTTTCTAAAATGTGATGCCCAGAACTGGACACAGCTTACTCGTTGAGGTTGAACCAATATTTTAAGCAGGCTTATCATAACCTTCCTTTGTTATTGCACGCTTTTCTTTTGTTTATAAAGCCCAAACTCCTGCAAATTTTTTTCACTGCTTCCTCACATGTCCCCATATCTTCAAAGATTTTGCAAATTAACCCAACTCCCCTTCACTGTTTTTAGCACTGAACCCTTTCTCTTATACTGCTCCGCGTTTTTTTACCTGTCAAAGCTAATTACTTTATACTTCATTACATTAAATCCCATCTAGCATTTTGACTGCCAATTCCATTCTTGAAATTTGTCTGTCACCCCAACAGTTCATCTTGATTTTAATGATGTACAAATGTGTTCTCTCTACATTTAAACTTCAGTTTATTAACATACATCAAGAGGAGCAGATATCCTAAAATATGAATCCTTGAGGATTCCTCTTTATCCCTTACTGCAGTCTGAATAACAAAAGTTCATTGATCCTCTTTCTAGTTGCTTAGCCAGCTTCATTACCACACTATTATTGTACTACTTATTCTAGGAGCTTTAACTTTACTGATGAATCTGTTTTGTGATGGTTTATCAAATACTTTTGAAAGTCCATGCACACTACATCAATTTCATTACCTTATCAACCATGCCGTTTGTTTATTTTTTTGACATGAATGTGCCTGCTATTGCCTTAAGTGCTGTTATTACCAGGGAAAAGAATTTCATTTAAGACACTAACCTATTGACTGCATTAAGCCATTGCATTAACCCATTAACAGCATTAAACCATTAATTAACTTACCTTTTGTAAGATTATCTTTTGACTACATGTCAGTACCATACCAAGAACAAACAATTCCACTTTGGTAACACCTCTACATTCTTCCCTTGCCCTAGCTCATTGCTACAAAAACCCTCATCTGTAGCTTTGCTGTCTGTAGCCTTGAGTCTTCCAATGTTGTTTTGGCTGACCTCCATCCTTCCACTCTCTGTAAATATTGAGGTGATGCTATTCTCTTCTGCCCATTCTAATTCACATCAAGTCCCATTCACTTATCAAACTCCCCTAACTTATACTGACTCCTTTTCTAGCAGTGTTTCTGTTTTAATTCTCATTGCTGATCTCTAATCCTTTCATGGCTTCAGTCTTCCATATCTGTTTTTCCATCCCTACTACTATGAAGAGTTTCTGTTCCCAGTCTGGTCTTGCAGATCCTTGGTTTTTAACACTGCATCACTGGAGGCAGCCATTCATTCAGTTGTCTAGGCCCCAAGCTTTTGAATTCACTGTTTAATTCTTCATGCATCTCATACGTAATCTTACTTTTGACTCCTTTTAAAATGCTGTTTGAAACTGCCTCTATGACAAAACTCTAGGTCACCAAACCTAATATCCTTATGGGTCATGGTGTCAAATTTTGTTTAATTCTGAAGCAGCTTGGTATGTTTTACTGTGCAAAAACAACAATTTAAATGCAAGTTGGTTATTGTTTTGCTTAATTTGGATAGAACATTCAGTTAATTTTTGATAGGAACTTTGTTAGAACTTTAGTCCCAATTTTGTCACTCCAAAAGACTTCAACTTCTTTGTCATGTTAAATTTTATACTATAGCAACAGCTTATACAAATTTTTAATGTAGCAGCATACCCCAATGTTTTACTGGAGTGATTTTCAGCAAAAGAAAATTTGACAATGAAAAGGGACAAATGAATTATAGTTTAGCTATGAATAGATTTCAAGGAGTGTTTGTAACAGCGGACTGAGAGTTAGGATATTGGCTACAGAACTTTGGATGACCTCCGCTTTACAGGAGTGAAATATGGGAGGCTGGACAGCAGTGTGTTGGAATAGTCAATACTTAAGGTAACAGAGGCTTGGATGATGGTTTCAGCTGAAATAGGAGTGAAAGGTAGGTCAGTAATTATATTGAAGTCCATGTTGATCTTGCTGATTGCTGGGTTGAGTAAAATACCAAGGTTGTGAATCATCAGAGACAATGGAATGATGTTTGTGTGGTGGTCCAAAGACTGGCTCCTACTTCATGGCACTGTCTTATACTTGCTGTGCTTAATGCATGTAACTTAAATATGTTTTCTCACATCTGAAAAAACAATGTGCTACAGTTTAAAAATAGCAAACATCAAAAAATTTATACGTTTAGTCTTGGAATCTTGACCTTTTTAAGCTAATTGTGTTGTGACTAATGGCCTTGCTTGTTCTGACTTCTTCCTGATTCATCAGCATCATCATTTAAGTTTAACTTGTTTTAATTTTGTTTTTCAAATGTAAATTCACGATTATGAGCGTTTTGCTAGCGTTTGTGATTGCATTTTGATTTTTCTACTGCAGAGGTGATTACATGCCGGATACTTTGACCAGCGATGTAACTACACTGTTGTAGTCAGATTTTTGTCACTTTTATATATATTTTTGTCAGATTATATAGTCAAATTGAGTGCTGGAAACTATTGTCCTTTCTATGTCTGTTTAGAGTTTTATCCGAGATCGATTAGAAGAATGTAAAAAATCTGATGCGGAAGAATATTTAAAGAACCTGTACGATCTGTATACAAGGTAAGGTATTGCTGGTATCTTTTTAACTGTAAGACACTCGTACTTATGTTTCAGGCCCTGTAACCAGCGTTTGTAAACTTTTTTTTTAAACAATCTAAGTGTCAGTCATTGCCTTCAAGAAATTAAGATATGAATTCCAATACATAACATGGGGAGCAGTGAGGGTTAGGGATGAAGTGAGTTATTAATCACTGTGTATCAATCTGCATTTGTTTTGATAGTGTAACAACTTTCAAAATATTTGATCTCATTTTGATTTGAAATACAATTTGCCAGTGACAAGAATGATGTCCTGTATCTGTTGAGATGAACAAAATTTCCCGTTTGAATGCAGTGGTACTGTTCTTTTTCCTCTTGTAATTTGTGAGCAGTTGCTTCAGCTATATTCAGCATGTTGCTCACTTTTTCTAAACCCACATTTGATCTGTATAATGAATATTTTCCAATGTGCAATATTTGTGTCATACAATTTTGATTATTTTGGAGGTGATATTGTCGGATGTAAGCTCATAATTTGTCAGTGGCAGTTACCCTGTTACCAACTTATTCAGACCAATCCATATATTTCGATATGCGAGAAAGTAAATAACTTATTTTCTGTCTGTATTGTAGAAAGTTATCTTAATCCATTTCCCTCTTTCCCTTCTTTTAGAAAATAGTTTGTAACCATTTTTCTGCATACAAAGATTTGATTCAGATATTTTGTTTCCGAAAGGACCGAAGATATTAAATGTTCACGGTGAAAAATCCTAGAATTTTAAAAAAGAGCCTTCTGCAATGGGTGATTTCAATCAATGTATCCAGTGATACTGTAACCAGGAGTCAGAAGATCTGACAGTATAAAAAGAGCATGACGTGATAGAGTGGATTAAGATGATTATTTGAAAGGTGAAAGGAAATATGCTGATGATTTGCCTTTCAGCAGCATAAATACCCCCACTTAAGTGTGGTTGAAATAAGACTCTGCCATTGAAAATTTTTAAAACGGTATAGCCAGTGAGAGGATAGCATGGTGGCTGCCAGAGGGGAAAAATGGTAAACATGAACTATATTGTGAGTCGTGCTTGGCACTTCAATTCCTTTGTGGAACTTTCTGGCTATTACATTAGTTCTTTCCTGGCGTGGGTGACTTAGCATTTGTATCTCTTATACTTCATTTCATTCTCTGAAATTCAGTCCCTCTTAGGTAACAAGTAACTAGGTCTCCAGTCCAGTTCCTCAAATATAGCCAAAACCACTGAAAAATTGCAATACTGAAACAAAGAAACTGACCTGATTGAAGTAAACATTAAGCAACTTTTGGGTTTGAAATATGCATCTGCGTTGAGAAATGATACTGTCCTGTTCACAGCATCACTTATAAATTTACACACACCTTGAAATTTATTATAACCCTATGGTGCTGATGTGCTTTCTGGTCTCGGATTTTGCAGGTACAGAAGCAAAAAATTAAAAAAAAAAAACAAACAAGCCTTGAATTCAGTATAACTTGGTATTAATGTATGACTTGACATATCAAAAGGTAAATTGAATATATTCCAGAGTTTTGAGAGTCAGGAGGAAATTGGGTAAGCTCTAATAATTTGTTACCAATGACAATTGAACAATGTTACGTTATTGAGCAAGACATTAATTTTTGATTTCAAAATGTGACAAAAATGTCACAGGCACCTATGAAATAGACAGAAAAGACTCAGCGAGACTAACGTAATGGAATTGATTATCAGGAATAAATTTTGAGCCTTAACTGGATAATCCTCTCAACATAAATCAATGTGAATTATTGTAGTTACTTGGACTATTTAATGAGCAAATAACATCTCAAGTGAATTGTATAAAGTGCTGCAGCATGGTGGACTGAAATGTCCAAAAACCATTTTATAAAAATTAAAAGATTTCTTATTCTGCAAAAACATGGGAAATCTTGAGAATAGATAAGGTATAGAATGAAGGATGGAAAATAATGCATGCATATTCAGGGACAAATGTCAGTTTGGATGGATGGCTGGGAAGAAATGGGAACTTCATAGTGCTATTTCCTGTCTGTATAATTTGCCTTGACCTCAAACTAGAAATACATTTTTAAAATTTTGATATTGTATCAAACTAGGAGGGCAAAGCTTACAGAGAAAGCAACTATTATATGCAAGTGGGCAGAATGGTGACAGAATAAAATTAGTACGGATGAGTGTACATTATTGTAAATTGCAAAGTAAAATGGGCTACGTGTATGCTCCGCGTACACTGAATGTTACTGAAATAGTGAATCATGGAGTGGAATGAGACTGAATCATGGTAAACTTGACACTTGATATATCTCTACAATGCAGAGCACCAATAAATAAAACTATTGGAATGCATCCGAAATAATAATTTCAACTCCAGGTGCAGCAACTTCCTAATCAAGTTGCATTATTTCTAGTTGTCACCACTTTTAGTATTGCAGTCAGTTCTGGTTATTTGAGATGTAGGAGATTTTTGCGCATTGGAGACCATACAGAGGCCCGAGAGTCTGATTAGTGTTTGAAATTGAGGCAAGAATGGAGGTATTTAAGCTTTTCAGTTTTGCAAAAAGGCATCTGAAAGTTGGTATAAAGAAATATAAAAGAAATCTACTATATATGCTTCTGCATGTTATTTTATAAATGTAGGCATTGCTGGCACTTATTGTTCGCCCCCATTTGCCCTTGAAAAGTCACCTTCTTGAATCACTGCAGTCCATGTGGAAAAGGTAAATCCGCAGTTCTGTTAGGGAAGGAGCTTCAGGATTTTAGCCCAGTGACTTTAAAGGAATAACAATCTAGTTCCAAGTTGGTATAGCACATGGCTTGTAGGAGAACCTACAGATTGTTTTTCACATCCATTGCTACCTTCTAGGAGGCAGAGATCCTAATAATTGGTTTTAATAAAGATTTGCATTTATATAATACCTTTCATGACTTTACAATTAATGAAGTAATTTTGAAGTATATTCATTGTTGTAATGTAGGGAACACAGCCAATTAGTACACAGCAAACTCTACAAAAAACAGTATGATAATTGCTAGATATTATGTTCTGATATTGATCAGGATTAAATATATCTTGGACACCACAGAGAACACCCCTAATTATCTTCAACGTAGTGTTATGGGGGTCTTTGATATATACTGGAGAGGGCTGCCAGTGTCTCTTTTCCAAAAGAGAGCACCTCTGAAAGTGGAGTACTCCAGTCTTCAGTCTTCAGTCTTCAGTCTTGTCTGGATGGATGGATGGATGGATTGTTTTGCTTAAGTTTTGGAGTGAAAGTTGAAGAACTTAGGAATGTTATCAACTGAACCACGACTGAAGATGGCTGACATTGGAACTACATAAGATATAAGTTAGGTCGCAGCTAAAGTTTTTTGTGTACAGTTCTAGTCATCCACAGGAATTACATAATTGCGCTGGAGATAATACAAAGGGGGAGAATACAGGAATGTTGCCAGAGCTTGAAAATTACACACAAGAGGAAAAGTTGAATCGGCTAAGGTTGTTTTCCTTAGAAGAAATTCAGGTATGACTTAGGCAAGATGCACCAAATAATGAGGTAGCTATTACTGCACACGGCCTCAGAAGTCTGTGCTGAACAAGAAATTTAGAGGGAATGTAGCTCCCAGATGGGGATGGTTGTCTGGAATTCACTGCCTGATTTGGTGTTTGAGGCAGAAACCTTGGATCTGCAGTGAAGCACTTTGACCAGCCCTTACCATTGCAGGTTAATGAGATGCGAATCAGCAGCCAGTTTATTCAGCTGCTGCAGACATGATGGGCTGCATGACCTATTGGTTCCTTAATATTTCCATGTTTAAGGTTTGAAAAGTTTATTCAAACTGAACTGCAAGGATAAAAAGAGAACTGTAGTTCAAACTAGTCAGAATAAACAAGGCTACCCTAGATTTTCTTGACACATACTGACCGTTACGTAGAATGTACTTCCAGATTGAGTTGAGAAGATCGAATTCTTTTTGCGACTAGATTAAAGTGAGTAGCCTTCCTCAATTGTAGATGTCATGCAGCAGTGATCTGTGCTGTTTGTTAGAGAACGATTTCAATGTCAGCACTTGTAAGCCCCTTAAATTCATTCGGGTTGATATTTATGTTTTCATGATGGCTATACATCTAGCTGTTGTTTCCTAGCATGTACATTTGCACATTTTACCTGAATCTCTTCAATTTTATGTGATACATATGATTGGAGAACAAAACCCGAACACCAGGTTTTTGCAAGGCCTATTTTTTTAAACGGATTATTCAGTGCTCCATATCGTGGCAGTACACAAATATGCTGTGCTTCAAATGATGAGGTACAGATTTAAATTAAAACAAACATGGCAGTATTCAAAAATCATGCACTTAAAACCTCAACTGTTATCTCTGGCTCATGTGTCAAGCTCAAGTTAAGTATTTTTCACAAGTGGAAAGGAAGCATGAAAATCAAATCAGCTTGATATTTCTTTTTTAAAAAAAAATGCTACTTAGCGTTTAGCTGTGTACTATTAGCAGGGGCTTGGGAGCTGGTAATAAATCTATATTTCTTGTGTTGCCTCTGCTTTACAGGACCACAAGTTTAGCAAGCAAGTTAGCAGAATTTGACCTTGGCACAGATAAACAGACATTTCTGGCTAAGATGATCAAAGGCATTTTCATTTCGTACCTGGAAAATTATATCGAAATTGAGACTGGGTACTTGAAAAATAGGAGTAGTATGGTGTTACAACGCTATTACGATTCCAAAAATCATCAAAAACGGTCTTATGGATCTGGAGGGTAAGTGCAGTAATATGAAGTTTTGATAAAATAACCACGATTGATATTTACTGGCACTCTAATTTTTTTTTATGTTCAAAAGCTCTTGTTTTTCTCAACTTTTAGTTTGGATGTTGTTTGTGTACCAGTTGCATTCTTTGTGACTATTGGCACTGATTAGCATTGAGAATTTAGCTCTAAATTTAAATCACTGACTTAAATTGACACAAACACAAAATTTCTTCAGCCCAAGGAATCTAAAATAACACCTAGGTACTTGAAATATTTAACAGGTAACCCTTGGTCAGGACTAAGAGCACTTGGCGATCTATTTTAAATGACGAAAGGGACAATAGTGAAAGCTGAAGATATACAGTAAAGGGACAATTAAGGAAACAATAGTTGCATCTCAAGAAGGTGTAAAATAAGAAGGCAAAATCACCCCATCGGCTACAAAATTTAATGAAGGACAGAGGCTACAATTAAATGTTGCATTTCAAAGATGAAGGAAAACAGGAAATACTTAGTAAAGTCTTGACATGACTAATTATTACTCTTTGCAATGTTTTGTTAAAAGTGGCCAGTTCAACGTTAGCTACTGCTAAATTTTAAGAGACCATTCTTGTGGATCATTTGAAATGGGACAATTTGCAAAAAATAAACTTGACTATACCGTGTTCCATCTCTAACCCTTCCTTCCTTTCCTCTCCAAATAACAACTTCGATTAAACTCAACATTTCTATCCTATGTGACTTGACAAACATAAACTTTCCTTCCTCATCTTTAGAAACACAGAAGCAGAAGGAGGTCATTTAGTCCTTCAAGCCTACTCTGCCATTCTTCACAATCATGGCTGATTGTCCAACTCAATAGCCTAATCCTGCTTCCTCCTCATAACCTTTGATCCCATTCACCCTGAGTGCTATTTCTAGCCACCTCTTGAATACATTCAGTGGCAATGAATTCAAAGGCTCACCACTCTTTTGGTGAAGAAATGACTCCTCAACTCCGTCTTAAATAGTCTATCCCAAATCATCAGACATCTGAAAGGACTGTGGATGCTGTAAATCAGGAACAAAAACACAAGTAGCTGGAAAAGCTCAGCAGGTCTGGCAGCATCTGTGAAGAAAAAAGTCAGAGTTAACGTTTCAGGTCTGGTGACACGTAGAACAGGTCCTGAAGAAGAGTCATTGGACCTGAAACGTTAACTCTGATTTTTTTTTTTTTTTTTTTTCTTCACAGATGCTGCCAGACCTGCTGAGCTTTTCCAGCTACTTCTGTTTTTGTTCCGCAGACTGTGACCGCTGGTTCTGGACACTCCCGCCATTGGGAACATCCGCCCTGCATCTACCTTGTCTAGTCCTGTTAGAATTTTATAAGTCTCTGAGATTCCCCCAACACCCCACCTACTTCATTTGTCTAAAATCCAGTGAAAATAATCTTAACCTGGTCAGTCTGTCTTACATCAGTCCTGCCATCCCTGGAATCGGCCTGATAAACCTTTGCTGCACTCCCTCGAGACAAGATCATCCTTCCTCAGAAAAGGAGATCAAAATTTCTCTCGCTAATCTAGGCATGGCCTCACCAAGGCCCTGTATAACGACACCAATACATCGCTGCTCCTATACTCGTGTTCGTTACTGCCTGCTGCACTTGCATGCTTACCTTCAGCGACTGGTGCACAAGGACACCCAGGTCCTGCTGCACACTCCCCTCTCCCAATTTACAGCCATTCAGGTAGTAATCTGCTGCCTTGTTTTTGCTTCTAAAGTGAATAACCTCACATTTATCCAAATTATACTGCATCTGCCATTGATTTGCCCCCTCACCCAACCTGTACAGATCATGCTGAAGGAGCTCTGCATCCTTGTCACAGTTCACCTCCCACCTAACTTAATATCATCCATAAACTTAGATGTTACATTTTGTTTCCTCGTCCAAATCAATAACATGTATTGTGAATAGCTGGGGTCCCAGCACCGATCCCTGTGGCACCCCACTAGTTACTGCCTGCCAATTTTAAAAGGACCCGTTAATTACTACTGTTTGTTTCCTTTCTGCCAACCAGTTTTCTATCCATCTCAATACACTTCCCCCAATCCTTTATGATCTGTCTGCAGCCTTTGACATTGACCACTTGCAACACAAGGTTTTACATGAGTTTAATTGAATCGTGACTATTACTTGCAATGACTTCTTTTGCTCCTGCACAGTCCCCAGAGGAATGTTCCTTGGCCCCTCCTTTTTCTCATGTATATGCTATCCCTGTGACAGAATCCAAAAGAACGTTAATAATTCTGACAGGGGCACTGATGACATCCAGCCCCACCTCACCATTACCTCTTCTGCCACCTCGACTGTTGCATTTTCAGGTATCCTGACAACATCTAGCGGAGCAAAAATTTACTTCAATTTAGTATTAATAAGACTGAAAGCAGTCTGAACTCTAAATTCTATTCCAACCGTATCTCTCTTCCTGACTACTGCCTGAAATTAAACAACCTCAGCATCACATTTAACCCCAATGTGAGCCTCCAATATCACGTTACCACAGTCTCTAAGATTGATTTCCATTTCTGTAGCACTACCCGATTTTACTCCTGCCACAGCTTATTTGCTGCTGATTCATGCCTTTGTCTAGACTGAACTCTCAAATTCTACAGTCCATATTTTAAATTGCATCAAATCCCATTCACTTAACAGCGCCATGCTTACTGACCACCTTGTTTTCAAAACCTTCCTTGGCTTCAGGCCCTTCGTATCTCTCTTACCTCCTCCAACCCCACAATTTGGAAAATATGCACTTTGCTAATTTTGGCTTGTTTTGTATCTCTGACGTTAATTGATTCACTGTTGGTGCCTGCACTTTCAACTGCCTAAGCACATACACCCCTTTGTCCATTTCTCCATCTCCTGTTCTGCCTTTTAAGAGTCATCTTAAATCCTGTCACTTCAATCAAATTTTTTGTCATCATCTTGTATGACTCAGTGTCACTTTTCTATAATGCTCCTGTGAAATGCCATAGACCGTTTTATTGCATTAAAGGAGCTATATAAATATAAGATGTATTGTTGCATGTTACCTTCCTGGCTGCTGTGCACGGGTGCATCATAGAGAAATCATTGGCTATGACTAATCTTTCCTGATAACATTTGTAACCAGTCATTGACTACAGAAACAAAGGTCACTTTGTTCAAAATACTTATACTTATTTTCACTTCTGGAAGAATTTTGATGTTTGGGATTTCAAAACTGTAAATTTCTTTAATTGATTTATTCTAAAGTTTATAATGTGCAATAGATATTCTTTCTAACCTTATCAACATAATTGAATTCAAAGTAATCTAGTTTATTGAAGCAAACTGTAATAGTACATGATGTCATCAAGGCCACCTCATTGACAAATCAAGTACAAAATCAGTTTATGAAGCCTTTCGCAAAACCTGAATGATGTGTGAAACTCCATTTCAGATGATGATTAAACTGGGTCATATTTGTCGAGTGAAAGTGATTGGTAGTGGGTTAACCCAAAAGAATGATTGTTGATTGCATTTCCCTACACTCCTACTATGTTCCTCAAATGATCCAATATAGAAATTGTTTATTATCACATCAACGATTAATTTCCTCATTCTTATCAAATATAATTTCCTTTACGGGAGGCAATGGCATAGTGGTATTATCGCTGGACTGTTAAACCAGAGACCCCAGGAAATGTTCTGCGGATCTGGGTTCAAATCCCACCATGGTAGATGGTGGAATTTGATTTCAATAAAAATCGGGAAGTAAGATTTTAATAATGACCACAAATCCTGGTCTGGCCCATATTTGACTCCAGACACAAGAATGTGGTTGATTCTTAACTGCCGTCTGCGCAAGTAGGGATGGGCAATAAATGCTGGCCTATCCAGCAATGTCCTCATCTCGTGAATGAAATTTTAAAAAAAATGAATAGCTTTATATATTACATTAATGGAGTGAATCTATAAAGATCTATATTTCCCTGCCTGTGCTGTTTGTTAATATGCTTATTACTCCATTAATTTATACCATAATCAAACAATTTATCAGATTCCTACAATAAAGGTTTTCTTATCTTTGATGGACAGCCATTTACAGTGCCAATTTAATGATTACTATGGTGACTGAGTTTGCTTCAGGCCTGACATCCAATTTGGATTTCACAGAAGAGTCTAGAAACCGGCTTAGCTTGTCTATACATGAAGAGCATTTATGAATTTATCTAATTAAATACCATGACCTGAATACACAGCAGGTGCACTCCATCATTATGCCCCCTTTTGTAATATCTGGTATGTCTGTATGATTACATAATTAAATTTAAGGTACAGTGCTTTGAAGAAGCATTTGGAAATGCAGTACAGTGAAGTGTGAAGAAAGTAATTTGTAATTTACTGTAGCTGATTTTTTTAAAAAGTTGTCTAGTTGCTCAAGTGTGTATATTAACTGCATACATGGAAGTTCGTTTCCCTGTATTAACCTCTGTGCAATTTGTTGAATGGAAGAATTACTTCCTTTTAGATGAAAATTAAGTGTATCTGGATCAGCAGAAGCAAAGTACTTCCCTTCCTTTTTGTGATTACCTAATAATTGCAGCACTTCAAAACCATGCTGAAAAATAAGTCTGCATTTGGAGCTACTGATGCGCTTTGGCAAAATGATCCCAATTACACCTTGATTCATCCACGTTTTTACCAACCTGTCACCTCTGTGTCAAAATGCTTCATTTGCTTTTGGACAGACTTCAGAATTGTCTGTACGTTATCATTCTGTAAATGTTATGGTGGTGCCTCTTAAATTACTAATGTCAAAATCACATCAGCACATAAACTATTTTGAAAACTGTCTAATCTGCTTTCTGAATTTTCAGCACCTTGCTCTGTTATGGGATAATGTTATTTTAGATTTACCTTCAAATCTGTTGGATGTTATATTCTATTGAACAGACAAAATTGGGAGAAATTGTTTGACATCAAAACAAGATGTTTTGAAGGAATTTACAATTTGAGAAATATTCCAAGTCCAATATTTCATTTTAATTTTACTAGAATGTTTAAGGGTTTTTTGCATATTTTTAGAATTTAATTGGAAGCACTGCTTCAATTTATTTTAACATTCTTGGGTGAAGTTAGTTGCTAGATGAATTCTGAATTTAATATTTAATGTCAGAGCATCTTGATGCAGGCTAGGATCATAATTTTTCAAAATACTGTCAAAATACATTCTTGTTCTGGTTGGCTCAAAGCTTTGTAGATTTGGATCAAAGTGCTGGATTTTGATCATGTTCAGAATTACTAACATTAGTTTTACTTATTGGTGTCTCTTCTAAATGTTCTGCAGCTCAGAGTTGGCTTTGATTTCTTCTGCACCAAGGTCTCCTTTTTCTGGCCGTATATAAAAAGCAAAGTATTCCATAAAGTTGCTGTGTCACAAATGCCAACATCTATCAGCAACATTTACGGAATTGAGCAAATTGAAAGTTCAAACTTGGCCTCTTGAACAGCAAGACTTTTTGTAGCCATAAACTTATCAGAGGGACCTTTTTGGAAAAATAACTGCAGCATGAATCTGCTAAAGTTTACAAATGCTATTCTTTGAAAGACTGAGCAGTTCTACAACTGTTGGGCCATAATTTTCAGAATCCACACAACAATTATATATAATGCTTAACACATCTCTTTATTTCTGTGTTTAAAATTTTCTCTGCAGCAATTAAATGTAGAACTCAAAAATCTTTCCTTCAAGGTTGCCAGTTGAAATGGTAAACAATGCTCCCAAGGAAGTGTTTAAAAAACTGTTGATACGTCTGGGTTAACTGAAATAGTTCCTTACTATCGACCCATTATTGGCATCCTGAGGAGGTGTCAAAAGTTTATTCTGTTGATCACTAACATGCTTTCTGTTGTGAAGTCAGAAACCTCCGTAAAAGTTTCATTGAAGTTGAATTCAATATTTACAAGGATGATAGATTTGAAGTAATATGGATGGAGTTATTTTAGCTAAGTTCACTTCAGTGGCCACTGAATTAACTTCACTGATTACTTTCATTTCTGGACCCACCTTGGTTGATTAGGGAGGCTGCTAAACCTGATTCTTTGTTCAATTATGGGCTTTTTTCCCAACAAAATTTGTCTTGAATTTCTGGCAATACTTTTATAGCATGCTGCTTCGAAGCATTTAAAAAGTCCTACCTCAATATTCTGCTGTTTAGAGAAACAGCAGTTCCATGTTTTTTGAAATGTTCACATCTGTCCAATTAAAAAGCAATCAAAACTTGTAGGTTTTCTGATTGCCTGAATAGTACCAAATTGCAAAATATCAGACACTATGGCTGATGAAATACTGTGCTGTTGGACCTTCTAGAAAGTTTCCATTCTCTTGTAAAAATGTAAAATAATTATGAGCAAAACTGTTTCAAATTTATGACTGTGAAAATTCATACAGGCAATGAAAACTTTGGAACCTTACACACTATGGGGACAGATGCCTATGTGGAAGAGTTTCACAGGCACAGCCAGAGGGTTTTACACACTGGATTCAATGAGTTTGCTTACTATAGTAAACCTGCAGGAAATGCGAACAGGCCAACAATCTGTAACACTGAATTCACTTTTGCTTTTAAGAAAGGGTAGCTTCTGGTATGGTTATAATGTCAGATGTTCACATGACTGCAAGAAGTCTGTCATGTCTGACACCATAGGTGAGTCAACCTGTGTAATATCACCTTGTTTTGCTTATGATATACTTTTATACATGTTTGTCCTCTGCAAATTAGTACAGTTGTAAATCTTTATGCACGTAAATTGTGAACTCTTCTGTGAAATAGTGAATGTGTATTTTGTAGGATTCAGGATCTAAAAGAGCGAATTCGCCAGCGTACCAACTTACCTCTGGGGCCAAGTATTGACACGCATGGCGAGACTTTTCTGTCACAGGAAGTAGTTGTCAATCTTTTGCAGGAGACCAGACAGGCCTTTGAGAGGTGTCACAGGGTAAGGTTGTTCTTAAAGAATAAAATTCCTTGCACTGTATGTTTGGGACTTGGGCTATATGATGGTTTTCCTCCAATAGTAATGCCTTGTAGTCCTTCACTTTTAAAATTTCTGCAAGTGGTTATTCTGGGGATGATTTTCAGTGGGGCAGCTCAATATAATTATATTAAGCAGTGTCTGTTTTTGCTAATTCTTAACTTTTTATTTATAGCTGTCTGATTCTTCTGATTTACCAAAGAATGCTTTTCGGATATTTACTATTCTCGTGGAGTACTTGTGTGTTGAGCATATTGACTATGCTCTAGAAATTGGACTTGCAGGTAATTTCCATAATTTGAAAGTTCGGTGTATAGAAGATTCTCTATGGATGAGTAAAGGCTTTTTTTTCTAATTAAATTTATGATCACCCAGCATTCTCTCATAGCCCCAATTTTGGCTGAACTTGATTTGATCACCCTGTGGCACCAAAATTAAAGCTGGTGTTCAGTACCAAAAGGAAGACAGAATAATATGCAGTTTAGTATGTTTTGCATGTCTTTGCAGCATAAGCTTTCGAAAATGAGATAGGTGTAGTTTGGTTTTTTTTGTTGATCGGCATAGACATGGTGATTCAAAGGGCCTGTTTCGCTGTTGTATGACCCTATGACCTGAGACCACTGTCATTTGAGTAGTATCTTAGATCATCAGTCATGGTGAATCTTGCAGTTATCCTTCAAGATCTTTGAGTTCTCTTTCTTTTCCATCTGCGTTACCAGTTGTCGTACTCCAGGTTAGACAGGCTGGGAACTCATGCACTATGTACAGTGCTGAATTTTAAGTTACAGCTCTCTGTACGCAAGCAGTTTACTGAAATAGAAGCTTCTAAGTTGTATTTCCATGTGAAAGTTCATTGTCTTCAAGCTTAATTGCAGATGATCCTTTCTGCAACATGTGAAAAACAATGTGAATAGGCAGTGAGGTTCTCTTTACATCTCTGCATGGAGGAGTTGACTGATTTCCTTGCCTTTGAATGAAACGTTGATTTTATTTATTCAACACTTATTTTATGAAACATGACCAACATGACTAGTAATGTGATTGTTGTGGCTATTTTTTAAGTCCATGTTCTAGTCTTTTTTTAATACTATTCCATCCCATGAAAATCCCAGGCAATGAAATTCCGAGCTTAAGCACTCTTTTTATTCGCTGTCAAAGTCACTTCGTCTTGATAATTCAGATGTCCTATTGACAAGCTGTTTATGGTCCATGTACTTTGAATTTCAACTCCTTTTTGAAATTCTGCAGTCGGTATGCTCTAATTACAGTTACCTTTACCTCAGCCCCACTAATGACGCAGATACCAATTTGGTTTTAAACTTAAAGTTCTTAGCCTTGTGTTTAAATCCTTATGTGGCCTCAACTCTGAAACCTAAAATCAACAACAAGAGTTTTGTTTTTTTTTTGTAGTGTCTTTAACATAATAAAGCATCTCAATGTATTAAAATGGATCATAGAAGTGTTAGCAAATAAAATTTGAAACTGAATTACATGTGCACATATTAGGCCAATGACCAGAAACGTGATCAGAAGTCTATTTTAAGGAGCATCTTCAAGGAGAAAGTGTGATTTAGCAAAAGAATTCCAGAGCTTAGAGCCTTGGCAATTGACTTCACAGCAACAATGATGTTGTGAGGAAAACTGGAGATACAAGATGCCAGGAGATGATTTTTGGAAGTTATAGCGATACATTCCTCAGGACCTGTACTTGAAACTTGTTCTTCTGTTTCTTATCTATGTATTGCCCTGAGGCAACATCATTCAGGAGGGCATTGGGTGAGTCAAAAGCACGGATGAGAAATGAACTATGGTGAGGAGGAGTGGAGTCAGATGATATTAGGGAGTTGTAAGTAGGTGTCTTATTGGTGATGCAGAAATATGGTTGGAATCTCATCTCGTGTTGAATGCGACATAAAAATTCAGGCTCGGGCAGATGCCAGGGTGAGAGATGAAGTCAGTGGTGAGGGAACAGAGCTCATGTTGGACCCAAAGACAATGAGTTTTTGCACACATTTCTGTTTAGCCAGTACTGGATGTTTGACATGCAACTGGAGAACTGAGTGGGGAGTGTCACCATACATGTAAAAACTGAAGCTGTGCTTTCACATGTTACTGTTGAGGGGCAACATGTAGACGAGAAATAGGAGACTGCCAAAGATAGGGCCTTGGTTAACAACACTATAAACACTACAAGAGTAGAGAAAAAAGTTGTTGCAGGTGATTCAATACTGTATTCCGGTTTGGAAAACCCCAGCCTTGAAGTGCAGTGGAGACTGATTCAATTAAGACATTCAAGAGGGCTCTGGATGATTGAATTCAAAGATAATTATCTAAGTTTAAACATTCATGTGATGAATTGCCCTGAGGGCAGTAAAGAGTCAACTGCATCGCTGTGGGTATGTAGTCGTGTAGGCCAGACTAGGTGAGGAATGACATTAATGAACCAGATGGGTTTTCCTGATCAACTTTTAATTCAATTTTTGTTCAAATCAAATTCCATGATCAGCTTTTGGTGAGATTTGAACCAGGTTTCCAGTTGTTATCCGGGTCTCTAGATTAATGGCCTTGCAGTAATACTACTAGGCCATCACTTCCCCTAATGTGCAGGGTCATTAAGGGCTTTAACAGTATGTCTGAATGCTCAGAGCTGGTGCTGACATGATGGCTGAATGACCTCCTCCTGCACAGTAACAATTCTTTGATGGTGGGCGGATATATAGGAATAGAAATGGAACTGCAGTCCTACCCATTTGGATAACTCAGCAGAGGAGTTGGGTGAGAATTCTGTTGTGAACTTTGCCAAAGGCTAGAAACTGTTCAAGAGCACTGGGACTGTGAAGATAATTTATTACGTCACAGTCAAATTGAAAATAATTTGTCTTCCATGTCAATTCCCACAATTTCTGCATTCCTGAACCTTAACCTCATGGGACGACTTGATGCTTTCTCTTGCTTCAGATCTAGCCCCTCAACTTGTCTAACGCACTTTCATTTCAGGGTCTATAATTTCTTTGAAGAAGCATCTGCTCCCTCCCTCCTAATCTCTAATTCACAGGTTACTTCCCTTAACTTCTTTGAAGTAGTCTTGTGCATTTCTCTGCGTAAAAATTGATATAAAATGTTTGTTTTTGTGTATGGTTTGAAGTATTGTGGGTGCAAAGTAAACCTAATTTAATAGATTCCAAGTCTGAATTTGCAAGATCAGTGGATGGTTATGGATTAACAAGGTCATTAATTCATCCATCTTGAAGTTCCTAACAATCCATCCATTGCAGTGTAGTTTCTAAAACAATTTCCAGGTTTGCACTTCAACACTCTTCAAAGTAACTGGCAGTTACTCTGATAAATGAAAAATAATTTTCTGATAAAAACTGTAGGTCTCTTTTCGCGATGCATTCATTGCATGAAAATTCTTGCATAGCAATCATCTAACGCTCCTCCGTGCATCATTCTTGTCATTAACTGACAATTCAGAAATATTTTTCTCACATAAGCTTATTTGTAATAAGAGGTTGGGAGAGAGAAAACAAATGCGAAGGAAATCTTCAGTTAACATAAAACTTCGCCTACACATGGAATCAAATCACTCAAATGCATTTACTTGTGTATCGTTATGCTTACCAAAACTAATGTATGGAGCTCTGCAATCAACCAAATTAGGACCAGAGACTTTTCAGATTCTGTCAAAGAAAGGAACGTATTAATTAAAAATTTTAAGTGATAATATACCCAACATTTAATTTTTAAAACTCAAATCTCCATTCATTTGGATAAATACCTGTTTGTTTTTGATATCTTACCCACTTAATCATATGACATAATTCTTTCTATAGTTTTAAAAAGCCCAATTTACTGCTGGTCAGCCACTCTTGGCTGTTCCAAGAATCACACTGTATCCCTGCAATTTTGAGACTAACAAATTTGATTTGATTTGCAGTCACATGTACCTAAGTAGAGTGGAAAGCTTTGCTTTTGTGAGCAGTACAGGCAGATCATACCAAACAAGGGCATATAGGTCATAGGGTGCTTAGATCAAGGCGTACAAGGTTACAACAGCACAAGAGTTGTGCAAAGCAAGATTAACATTAGCAAGATCAGTATTATTTGGACCCTTCTAACTTCATTCAGCAGTCTGATAATGACAGAAGAAGCTGTTGTTGCGTGTTCAAGCTTTTGCATGTTCTGCTTGATGGAAGAGGTTTGAAGACAGCATTACCAGGATGGGACGGGGAAGGAGGCGGGGTGGGAGGGTGGTTTGAGTCTTTGATGTTGGCCAACTTTCCGTGGCAATGAGAAGTGTAAATGGAGTCCATGGATAGGAGGTTGGCTTCTGTGATGCGTTGGACTGTGCACACAACTTTTTGTAGTTTCTTACATTCCTCGGAAGAGCAGTTGCCGTACCAGGCCATTATGCACCCAGATAAAATGCCTTTCTCTGGTGCATCTGTAAAAGTTGCCGAATTTCATAAGCTGCCTAAGGAAGAGGAGGTGTTGTGCCCTCTTGACCGTTGCCTCCACGTGGAAGGCCTAGGACAGATGGTCGGTTATCGTCACTCCCAGGAACTTCTGACATTCTCGACCCTCTGCACCTCAGCTCTGTTGATGTATGTCCTCCTGCTTTCTTCCTGAAGTCAATGATCGGTTCTTTTACTTTCCCGACATTGAGAGAGAGGTTGTTATCATTATACCGCAACACCAATCACTCTGTCTCCTTCCTGTATTCTGACTCATCATTGTTTGATATCCATCCCACCATGATGGTGTCATCAGCAAACTTGTAGATGGAGTTTGTTCGGACTTCGACTGCACAGTCGTGGGTGTACAGTGAGTACAGTACGGGGCTGAGAATGCATCCTTGCGGGCAGCCAGTGTTGAGGGTTGGAATTTAGTAAAAGCCTTTTGCAGGGAGTGGGGGTAACATAGGAATATGGGAAGTGAGAGTAGACAATTCAGCCCTTCGAGCTGCTCTGCCATTTAACATGATCGTGGCTGATCTTGTCTTGATCTCCACTCCATTTTCCTGCCAGCTCCACATTGCCCTTTATCATGCTTTTCATCAGAATTGTATCTGTTTCTTTGAATCTGTTGATTGATTCTGCCTCCACTGTGTTCTGTGACAGTGAGTTCCACAGATTCACAACTGTCTGAGAGAAGTAGTTTCTCCTCATCTCAGTTTTGCACCTACCTGCTCTCACTGCCGTCTATGCCGTCTCGTTCGAGACTATCCTACAAGGTCGACTTTGAACAGATGATTCCCCCTTTATCAATCCCCTTCAGCATTTTATAGACCTCAGTCAGATTCCCCCTCATTCTCCTGATTTCCGGCAAGTACAAGCCTAAGCTAGACAACTGCTCCTCGTACGAAAGCCCTTTGATCCTTGGAATCAACGTTGTAAACCTCCTCTGAAATGCCTCCAGTGCTACCACAACCTTCCTCAAGGAGACCCAAACTGAACATAATATTCCAGATGTGGTCTCACTGATTCCTTCTATAATGGTAACAACACTTCTTTACTCTTATAGTCTAGTCCTGGTGCAATAAATGCCAAGATTCAATTTGCCTTTCTTATTATATGCTGCACCCGCATACCTACTTTCTGTGATTCATGCACAAAGACACCCAGATCCCTCTGCACTGACACACTTTGATTCTGCTTCCCAATTAAATAATAATTTGCCCTTTTTATTTTTCCAGCTAGAATGGACAATCTTGTACTTATCCACATTAAACTCCATCTGCCAGATTCTGGGCAGTTCTCCTAGCCTAACAATATCCATCTGTAAGCTCTATCTCCTCATCATTACCTTCCTTTCCACCTGTTTTGTTATCATCCATGAACTTTGTTATGTTGCTCGCTGTTCCTGCTTGCAGATAATTTTGTGGATTGTAACCCCACAGCAACCCACTAATCAAAGATCACCACCATCCAGAGAAGGACCCATGTATTCCGACCCTCTGCTTTCTGTCAGTCAGCCAATCCTCTACCTTAAACCCTTTCTGGATCAGTCTTTTATGTGACACCTTGTCAGATGCTTTCTGGAAGTCTAGGTATGCCACATCCACAGGATCCCCATTATCTTCCTTGCTGGTTACATCGTCAAAGAACTCCAAGTTTGTCAAGCATGACTTGTTGGTGTGATAAACTGTATCACTGGTCTTTACCATTTCACTTGAATTATCTCTTCCCCCTGAGAAATTAAGCAAGAGTAGAAACTTCCATTTCTGAAATCGTGTTAACACCTGTATAGTGATTGTCTTATTATTGTAGAGATTTTAAATTAGACTAATGAGTTGCCTATATCTTTTGAGTTTGGTTACTGTGCCAGTCTATTTCTGTTAACCAGAAGATTAATAAAGTAGATAATTAAGTTTTGTGATGATAATTGCTCCTATGACAAGATTTAAAAACTGAGAACAAGTCATCTTTCTTTCCTTCAGCAATCCCATCAACAGATTCCAAGACAGGATCTCTTTACTTTTTAGATGTCGTACAACAGGCAAATACAATTTTTCATTTGTTTGACAAACAGTTTAACGACCACCTCATGCCACTGCTAAGGTGAGAGATTTTTGTTAATTGACAAGTATTTCAATCTATCTCTGATTATACTAATAATCATTTGGAATGATGTGGAGGTGCTGGTGTTGGACTGGGGTGGACAAGTCAGAAATCACATGACACCAGGTTGAAGAGACAAGCTTTTGGAGCCTCGGTCCTCCTTCAGGTGTTAGTGAGAGAGGTAGTATCAGAATTTATAAGGAAAAGATCAGAGGGTCACACCACTGAGGATGTACTAAACAAACCTAAGACACTGTTAAGTCTTTAATCAGTTAAAGGTTTTAATTGATTAATATGTACATGTAAATCCCCGAACTCTTTTCAAGTCACAGTCCTGAGAGAACTAATGGTTTTATTAATCTATGGGGTTTTGTTTGTGTGTGTGTGTCGTGTGGGGAGGGGGGCGGTGGGTGTGGGTGTGTGTGTATTCTCTCTGCCCCCAACTCCCCCTCTGCCCCTGACTCTCTCACGTGCACGAATGAATCTGTAGACCGTCAGTCAATATTGTGTTTTATAAATTCCTACTTTAGAAATAAAGCCAGTCTGACTCCAAACCAAAACACAAACAGATTCTAAACAAGGTGTCACGCTTTACGTGCATCGTCTGACCTAAAATGTCACCTCATCTTTACACTGATAAAACCTTTTGTTCTCTCAGGACCGTGACTTGAAAGGAATCCGGGGATTTACATATACACATATTAATCAATTAAAACCTTCTAACTGATTAAAGATTTAACAGTATCTTAGTTTTGTTTAGTACATCCTCATCAATGGTGTGAACCTTTGATTTTTTAACTTATAAATTCTGTGTCTGATACTACCTCTCAGTAACACCTGAAGAAGGACTGAGACCCTGAAAGCTTGTGTTTTCAAATAAACCTATTGGACTATTATTGTTTGGAACATATTCATATTGCATGAAAAAGCTGTCTTTTGTTGAATCTTAAATGTTATGGAGTATAACATCCTTAAAGCTCCATTGTGAAAAGTCATTGATTAGGCTTTCAAATCTTAAAGGTATTTTATCATAAAAATTACAAGAACTAAAAGCTTTTCAGTATCTTATTTTTTAAAAAAATGCTTATTATTTATCTGTTTAATTATCTACCTTTTTTTATTTCTCCTCATTCCAACTAAGTTGATGTTTTGCAAATGATTGTACCTACAGTTCTTCTCCTAAACTGACTGAGTGTCTACAGAAGAAGAAAGAAGTGATTGAACAGATGGAAGTTAAACTGGATACAGGGATTGACAGGTAAATATAAATTCATTACAACATGCCGTATCAGGGATGTCATTAAATCTCAGTTTTTCATCTGTCTATATGGCATCTCATTATTGGTTGGTTAATCATCCATCAGACATCTGTTAGATACAGCCTTTCAATAAACAGTGTCGTCATTGAGCTGCTTAATCCAAAAATAAACATTTTTCTCCTGCAAAAAAAATCATTTTCCACTGTAGAAAATCTTTTTTCCAATTGAATGGGAGATTCTAAAGTTTCTAAAGAATGTTCAGTATATTTTCAATTAGCATGTTTTATTTAAGTTTCTACAGAATCTATCTGAAAATCTCTGGTCCTAATATAGTTGATTACTGCACATTTAATAGTAAACAAGTAAATTCATTCGAATGATTTGATTCTATTTATGAACCAGATTGTATGAATGGAACTTTTTTTAAGCATTTGTTTTCCACTAGTTGTTTCTTAGTGTTTGGAAATATAATTTTGTAAATATGAGTAAAACATTTTTGAATGGTTATGTAATAACAAAGACTTTTGTATATGTTCAATAATAACTTCATTTGTTAGTTTAAGACTGTAGATGCCATTTAGCCCAATGTTCCTGTACTGGCTTTTGGAAATAGTGCCCTAGTTAGTGTACTCTTTGCTTTCCATCCAGTGCCCTGCAGTTTCTCGTTATCGAATGTTTATTCAGTTTGCCTTTTAGAAGTTAATGTCAAATCTGTTTTTACCTCCTCCTTGGGCAGATTAATCCAGATTTGTAACGGCTGCTTGTATACTTTTTTTCAAAAGGTGCCACCTTATTTCCTGCAAGTTATTTCCCCAGTTGTTTTTAATATTTGTCCTTTGGTTACTGACCTACCTGGCGGTGTAAACAATTTTTCTTGATTTACTCTGTCAAAACCCTTGACTGAAGTTAGACATTCTTTATTAAATCTTAAATATCTCTAGGCTAAGAACAGTTCCAACTTCTCCGTGTTTCCATTATAGTTGATGTTCTCTTATATGCTGAATAAGAAAATACCTACTTGTCCATCTAACCTTCTCTCCATTCAGTTGTTAGTTTGAGATTCAGGGTATATTTACTGTTCACCCCACCTGAAACCATAATATCTGGGTGATCTGGGAAACTAGATTGAAAAATCCAGCTCAATTTGGAAGAAGTAAACCTGACCAATTCCACTGTGCATTTTGGCCATCAAATCCAGTCCAGATCACACTAGCCCTGATACTCTATGCAGTGTTATAAGTTTCTAAAGGGTTTCAGAAAATTGACATCTGCCAGCTGTAATATTTTTCCCTGAACAATGTGGTACTTACCTAACCCACGTATACAACATTGCAATTTGCCATCTAAATTCAACTTGCTTGTGAGGAGTCTGATCCCTTGATATCTAGCTTGAACATTTGAGCATAATCTATAGCTCTGGGATTCATAATCTTTGTCTTCAAGATTGCAGGTGAAACATCTCCCTGTCATCTACAACTAGATTGTGAAGAAAAGTAGTCAGTAGCAGTGGTCTTGGCATACATTTAGTTTAGTATCTGGTATAATTCGGATTTGGATTGAGTAATTTATTACTGTGGAATGCAATAATCAACCTTTCAAAGTTTTCAAAAACTGTAGATATTCATGTTTCATAGGTTACCCTGTTTACACAGTATAAATCTTAAAATTTACATCTGTATGATATCTGTATGCTGTTTCTTTGCAATTTTAAAAAATTGCGTAGTCCTGTACCAACATAGAATGACGTAACTGGTACATCCCACATTAAAGTACCTACTTTGTTTTGTGAAGGACGTTGAATTGTATGATTGGGCATATGAAGCACATCCTGAGTGTTGAACAAAAAAAGACAGACTTCAAGCCAGAAGACGAAAACAACGTACTAATTCAATATACTAATGTATGTATTCTCAGATTCTCGACAATATGTAAAACATAATCACACAATACCATCTGAGTTTTATCGTACATAAAATAGCATTGCTATGTTTAATTCTCCCAAATGTGCTGAATGATTGCTTTGAAAAATTTAGGAAAGAATTAATGATCTGTAATCAGTTATTTTTATGCTGTAGCTAGCAGTCTGAATCTGTATTAATATTTTTAGCCTCCTTTTTTAACTTCACTTTCTGAATTTCTGATAAATTAGCATTTGATAGCGCCTTGTTACATCACTGGGACATTCCAAAGGACTTGGCATTCAATAAATCTTTCTGAAGTGCAGTCACTGCTGTGCAAAAAAAAAGGGCAATTTGTTTGTATGCAGGAACGTTCCACAAACACAATGAATCTGCTTTTAAATCATTGAGGCAGAATTTTGGTTTGGGAAAGTATCTACTCATTGAAGTGAACCACAAAATCTCTAACAGTTAACTCAACATACTTCATTTTAATGTCCATCCAGAAGATGGCATCTCTGTCAATGTAATTCCCCCGTGAACTAGATTAGATCTATATTACTTGCTTAATTCCCGGAATAGAGTTTGAAACCTCATCATCTGACTATTCAAAAGTCATGCAAACAAGTTGTGCTATGTTCATACCACCCCAACTCAGTAGACCAAATTGGTGACAATTTGTTACATAGTATTGCATTTAAGGAGTTGATTTTACTTGTACTAATTTTACAATGTCCAGAAAGAAAATTGATCATTTGCATCAAGACTTGAGGACTGAGACATCCCTAAAAATCTGCAGGTTATCTGCTGCTCATGCCTTTAGGCTATGGACTTAGAAGGAAAAGCTAGCTAATTCTGCTATATAACTTTCAAAAGCCTGTTGCCATTTATAGTATAGGATGGTCAGAGGTGTTCAGTGTGGCAAATGGTCATTGACTTCTAGAGGTACAAGATGATTTTCAATTCTGCTGTTACAGTCACAGTGCAATCCAAAAGTGGCTCTCAAAAATCAAACTGTAGTTCTTCAGAAGATCTCAAAAGGAACTCTCTCAAAAGAAAAGATATTTGTGCCCTGCATTCCATAATGTACATTTTACAGTTGGGACTCCTGAGGTGGCCTCTCATTATATATAAAACAAAATGATTGACGAATGCAGTTGGCTGGGATAATAGATTGATTTGTCAAGGTTAGTCCATGTACAACAACAACATTACAAATCTTTGAGAGATATACATATTCAGCAGTGATCCTAGAAGTCATGGTGTTTGGCTGGGATTGCAATCATTTTGTTTCCTTACATAGGAGCAGCTGCTTTAGAAATACATCAAATGACAAATCTCAGCAGGAATCTGATTATAAACAAGCTCCCGAGTCATTATTAATTTGGGATGAATGTTTTGTAAACTAATGTTGGTATGCCTATCCTGTGAAGACAGAATGTTTAAAAGTAAATACGATTAACACTTTTGTTTTAAAATAAAAAGCTCGATTTGGCCTTTGAGTGATTTTATCAGGGGAGCGTAGAGGTTAATGAAAATCATTACAAGTTGAAAATTTGTCTGTTAGCATTATAAACTTGGCAACTGTCAGATGACACTGAATGTTTAATTGCCATGCAGTTTTGAAGTAATTGCATTTAGCATATAATGCAATATCCCATTTTCTCTGCTTATTATAATACAACAGCAAATTGTAATAATGTCACATTTCATGACCTTTTTGGGTAGGCTTGTGTCAAAGTCTGTGGCTATGTCAGGAAGCAAGTAGAAAAAAATCGAAATTCGATGGACGGGAAGAATGTGGATACTGTTTTAACAGAATTTGGAGTTCGCTTCCATCGTCTAATTCATGAGCACCTTCAGCAGTATACTTACAGTTCGATGGGTGGCATGCTGGCTATCTGTGATGTAGCGGAATATCGGAAGTGTGCCAAAGAATTTAAGGTGTCGTATATACTCTTAATATTAACATTGTCTCAACACGGCTTTGTACTGTTGTTGTTTTACATTGCATTTTGCTAATTATAAAATATTTCCTTGCCTGTTTGTTTACAAATTGAAACTATTGTGACTTAAAAAAGACTTATTAAGTGTGTCCATTGTTTGTTTGTGATTTGCTTGTAATCACCTCTCCCTCAACAAAATGCTAAATTAATTGAAAAACTGCCTCAAATAGTAAACAATACCTTAGTGAACTGAATATTTAATTTTGGAATGTCCTAAATTCCCCCTAATAATAAATATAAATATACATTGATTTGATTTAGTTTGTCAGGAGTAATAGAATGGAATATCCTTTAAGTGATTATGTAGTGTTGTTAAAAGTATATACATCATCACCTGAAATTTTGGTTAACCTTAAGCCTTTAATCCAAGCACCTGTTTGTTTGCATGTTAGAAATCGTTGAAAATCATTAATGTAAACAAGTTAAATATAACCATGCAGATATTCAGCAAATCCACATTCAGAATTGAGGATCAGGCTGACCTGTCCTATTTTCAGCAAATTAATTGAAGCATTTCTGTAGTTCTATGACCAGATGGTGTAGAATGTCAGACTGATGCTGGAGGCTTACTAATGACAGTAAATAATTATGCATGGACACTTGCATTATTGTATCAAAGTAATATAAATGCTATGTTCTATTCTAATTGTAGTGTATTTTTGTAATCTTTAACTGTGGTAGTATGCATTTGTTGAAAAGCTAATGTCTTTCTTTCCCAAGGTTACAAACTGTTGCCTTGTATATAACTTCTACTAATCTCCTTTAAGCTGCTCCTAACCGGAGATTGGTACTGGTATGCCATGCTCAACTGTTTTGCACTATCTTCAGTCATTCACTGTAGCTTGTACATATAACCATTCTGTGACATCCAGCAATAGCTAGGTCATCTCCTTTTTCTGTTGCTGTCCACTTTATCCTCCGGTCTGTAGCTTTTCAGCTCTGACTAAATGGCAGAAATTGTTTTCACTTTTTTCTGGATGTCACTCTTTAGAGTACTTCTTGCTCTTGCAATTTTCAAGCAGCTTTTCTAAAGTATTTTAATATGTTGTAAACACTTTCCATTTGTATATCCTTAACAAGTCAGCTTTCAAAAATGGTACATTAACTCTAAAAAATGTGATGTCTGGAGAATTGAAAACCTGAAACTGGTCAAAGGTTTTGTTTTATTTCCTGATCAAACAACCCAACTTTGATACAATATACATCATAAAAATCAGACTTGAGAGAAGATAAATCCCATTTTGACCTGCATTGTGTCCTTGCAACTTGACAAATGCAGTACAGTTATTAGTTCAGTAGCAGAATTATTCATGGCATGTTACAAGTGTAATTTGCTCTTTTTCTTTAAAAAAAAAAAAATCCTCCAATTCATCACAAGAGTTCCATGTTTTCCATTGTATTCTCTCTTTTATAAGCATTTCTGTTTACTTAATCATCATCTAATCTAGATAAGTTTATACTTTCCAGATAATGGTTCCAGTGTGTGTTTTTTTTTAAGGGGAGAGATGTGGGGAATGGGATAAAGAAAACCTCTGCCCAAGCTATTAGTCTTCCTATTTGGTGCATATCTTTTGCATTCTTCAGATTAAAGCTTTCTTCCAAAGATGCAATTTCTCTTGAATTACAACCGCTAATTGCACTTTTTCTCTTTTTTTAAAATATAGATTCCCTTGGTGTTGCAACTTTTTGATACGCTACATGCACTCTGTAATCTCCTGGTAGTAGCACCTGACAACTTAAAGCAGGTCTGTTCTGGAGAGCATCTAACTAATCTTGACAAGAACATCCTTCATGCCTTTGTGCAGTTGCGGTCTGACTACAGATCAGCACGCCTCGGTCGTCATTTCAGCTGAAATTCTTTGGTGTTTGAATCGGAATACAGTTTCAGAGCTTGATACCTGGACTTTTTGGGCTTAGGCTGTTTGGAACTTCGGAAGCTTTAAATACAGGGCATTCCAACCCCTGTTATATAGCCATTTACAAATATATTTGGGACATTTGTGACGTCACTAAAAAGCAGCCATTATTGAACTGTTTCATTGAAAAACAGGCTGAGTTAATCCAAGTCAAACACGGTAATATTTTTGCACAATTTATGCTCTAATGATTATCTGGAGCTGAACCTATCAGAAGCTACTAACATAAGTCAGTTTGCATACGTAACAAAATTTAGTTCATCATTAAATACAATCAGGGAGGTTGTTGAAGCACTGAATAATAAATTTAAAGCTCAGTTCTATAAACACGTGTTTGAAGAAAATGTACAGTGTTTTATCCAGGTATAATGGATTCACTTCCTCTTATTGTACACAGATGTAACACTATATTACTAGGAGTGTATTTGTTTATACAGGTCTTTGATTAAACAGCTACAGCAGGTGCCTCAGCATATCGAACGTATTGCTTCATAGGTTATTTTGTTCATGATGAAATGGGGTGAGGGTTGAGGCGGTTGTAATGTGTTTCTGTTATGCCATTCATATGTAGGTTGACTTAGCTTTAGTATTAATGAGCTGCTGCAAATAGTGCTCGATTAAATACATGATACCTTTGACATTTGTGGTGTTATTACTGTTCTCTGTTACGCTAATAACAATTGCTAAAGGAGATAGAAGAAGAATTGAGCATTCTGAAAGTCATTGCTTTTAACGTACGGGGGATGTTTTCTTTTCTAGTGAGCTTTAATTATCTTTGCTATAAACATCAGTGAATTCAACAGAACTCAAATTTATTTTGTAGTTTATTTAAATGTTCTCTAAACAAATCTTGTCTATCAGTGTGACTGGAAGCACTACAAACAATCGGTCAGTAATTTTTACATTTTGTACTGATCCATTTTCTCATTCTACAACATGATTTTGCATCATTCCCACGCAGTTGTAATGGCTGTAATTATTTCCCGTGCCTGCGCGCTGTGCAGTATTTCTTCTTGAATATGAAGAGTGAAAAGTTGGAAATGGTTGGTGGAAAGCTGCAGAATGCTTCCACTAGGAAAATTGTAAACATTGCTCCCTATCATTAAACTGCAAATGCCCCTGTATACAGAGTAGTTGAAGTATTTCTCTTTATCAAGGATTATTGACAATAATACAGAAATACTGTTACCTGTATATGGGGAAAGATGAGATGTCAGATTTGAATCTAGAGTTAGAATTTAGATGCCCAAATTTAGAATTTGAATTCCAAAAGACATTTAATCTGAAACAACCTTAGTCAAATGATTGGGAAAACAGATATGACCTTTCATTATATATAACTCATAAACCACCTCTTAGTGGCTGCAAATCTAATTGTTCAAAGTCAGGAAAACTCAAAATAGGAACGAAAGGCAAACCCACTGAGGCGCATTACTGTTTTGAGTATTCTAATAAATCAACAGTTTTGAAATAGCTTTGTTCAATAATGTGATTTTCCATGTATTACACTTCCTTTTCCAGGCATTTAGCAACAAGTATCTTGCAGCTAGTGGAGTAATGCAGTGGAGGCTAGAAATGTATGCCCATTTACCATCCCTTACCCAGTACACTATGCAGTAATGTTTATTCATTACTCAAAGTTATTGAATCTGAAGTAAAATTAGTGCTTTCATTAAATTTTAATTTGAGTCCAATTTTATTTCAGACTAAAGGTCTTTAAATTAATGTGAATATGGTGTTAAATTGTTACCTCCCATTCAAGGTTTGAATATATATTAGGCTGATCTCAAAGAATCCCTAGCTGAAGCTATGTGCTGGTACCAAAAGTTTTTAATAACTTTAGGCAATGAGTTCTGACGACATGATAACATGATCATCAATGTGCAGAAAAAATTGCAAAACGCTATGATGCTTTCAAGCATAGATTTAATAATAAATAACAAGGATATAAGGCAGCACTTGCAGTACCATCTCTCTCTTTCCTGTCTCTGTATGTGTGTGTCTCTGACTCTCTCAGCAATAGCACACATGCTATTAAAGTACCAGAAAACTTAAGGAGAAAAAAAGTTATGCTGTAACCTGTTCTTGGCTTCTGACTCTTCCTTCACCAGCTTCCATATGTTCCAGCATTGACCACCCCATTTCCCCACCAGCTGTCTATTATCAGTTTTCGTAAACACTGGCAAGACCAAAGCCACTGCCTTTGGCCCATATCACATCACCTGGCCCGTAGTGTTCCGTGCTATCCTGTTCAACTTATGAGCTGCTATCTTTTCTGTCACAAAGATCCCCTGCTCCCATTTCAAATAATATTATGCACCATAAACCTAACAACACACATCTAATACTGAAATCCTCCTCCACCACTTCTTTCAGATTGGACTATTATAATATTCCCTTGCCCAGCATCATCTTTGTAAACCTTAGTTCATCTGAACTTTGCTACTTTTATTCTTTCATGTGTGAATTTCTACACCCCCACCCTTCTTGGCTCCCTCATTGCCTTACTTCACCCTAAAATTACTCCTCTGCTCCAAACGTACTTCCTGTAATTCTGAACTCTTTTGCACTGCCACCACACTGCTGCTCCATTACTCATGTCTGTCTTAAGCTATTCTGAGACACCATAATCTTGAGTTCTGGCTCTAGACCACATTTTCTGCTTTGAGATTATTTATACACCCATCTGTTTTGCAAATGCCCCTGTTAAATCAGCATTGAATTATTTTTCACACCAAGTGTGAATTATTTTACTGTGTTTTCCGGTGTTAAGTTGGATATCTGAGTGCAAGTTCATTTTATTCAGAAGAACAAGAGAGCTTTGATCAGTTTGCGTGGTTCCACAAATTGCAAAACTTAAATCTAAGATTTAGCTCCAAAAATGAGCTTTGGCTGTGAACCTTTGATGTAAGGTATAAGGCAGTCTAAATTTAAAGATGGCATTCAATATAAGATGACGAATTGTTTTTGTAACGCACAGGGTGGTTAGGATATGGAATTTGCTGTGAGTTAGTCATGGAATCAGGATCCATAATCACTTTCTAAGTGAAGTGGATAATTAACTCTGAACTTTTGAAAGAGAGAAAAGGAAAAGTAATAGGACTAATGCTATCATTTATTCTACGGTGCAAAATTCCACGTGTATTTGACTTAAGGTGCTCAGAGTGTCCGCAGTTATAAATAATTGTTTAAAATATGAAGTACTACACTTCAACTTGTCCCGTGTGCTTGGTCTTCAACAATATTTGTAGTGGAACTGTATCAAAGGGTTACGCATACGTTCCTTTATTAGCCAGTCTATACTTTAGGGAATTGAAGTGCAGTTGCCAAGCTTACACGGCTTTGTCCAGTTGGATCTCCCTAATCTGGAGAATTCACAATGGATTCTGCAGTTGATAGGTTCCTGTAATGGACTGGAAGGGATTTGCTCTCTGATGCCTCAGTTAGAATACAAGTTAATTCAGAAATTTTGTGTTGCAAAGCCTGTTTGATGGGAGAAAGAAGTTGGTCTTCATTACTGTGTAGTGCTATTTTGTACCCTTTACTTCCCTCCAGATAAAGGATAACTGTGGCAGTTACTGTCTGATCTTTTAAGTTTACATAGCACCTCAGAGCGGCTGCTTTTTTTGACATGAGACCTAAACCTGACACTTCATAAGCTCTTGTATCCTTTTTGAGTCCATGTTTCCTTTTGATCTAAAACTGGCACTCCAGATGATTTTCTCGGTGCTGGCTTTGTCTCAGCCAAATAAATCTGTGTTCCACGATTTTGTGGTTGAACAACTGTTCCTCCTAAGACGTGAAGATAACAATGACTTCTATTTTTATCCAAAGTTCTTGACCAAGTTGTGGTGGAATTTTATTTGACTTGGGATTACAGTCACTTATTTAAATGCAGCACCTCACCCATATGAGAAGATTATCTCTTTACTTTGGGTAACCTGACTTCGTTATGTCTAGTAAACTTGCTGGTCAAATACATTTGAACTCTTAACTTTTTCAGGACACGGAACTTTTTTCACTCAACCTTACTTATTGGAATGTTAGATTTTTGGGGGGCCAGACAAAATCAGAATGTAAGGCTCATTACCCTATGTAATGTGCACTTTTCTAAAATGGTAATCATTTGATCTTGCTGGTAAAGAAAATTGAACACAGCCTTGCACCCTGTATCCCTGTCCTGGAAGGAGTGAGTAAAATACAGATTGTACTTCTGGGACCATCTCTTTTCTCTTGTCCCCACGGTATTCGAATAAAAATATTGAACATACACTTTTAGTCCATTGTATTGTTAAGTGGTTCCATCCTACATTTTAATTCCATAATATAGGGAATGTGATTTTAACTTGGGAAGGTTGTTCTAGCTAAACAAAGTAAAGATGGACATGCTGTCATAAGAATAGACACATGTTTAGCCAGAATGATAAACTACAAAACAGATGGCTATTTCCACACACGAGAATTGAGACAGTTAACCGTATCAACTATGTGTCTATCATCTGATTTGTCTCATAAATCACTAACAAAAAAGCCCTAAAAAATGGAGTGTGCAGTTCTGGACCTTACAATTTGTTGGCTGTTTAGTCAAATGCTCAATTCTTTAAATAGCATTCACCGCTACTTTAGTGTAGCATTCAAGTTTGTTAGACCTCATGGCTATTAAAGTATTATCTCATATTTTTCGTATTACGAGGAAATTTTGATAGCCCTGACCTTGAGCAATTTAATCAGTGATTGTTCTTTTAATGTTTATAAGAATCGAGAGAATGAGTAAGGAACAGGGTAATGCCATTTTATTGAATTTTCTCTTTTTGCGCCCAACAAGCCTTACTCAATTTGACTTTGAGCTATTATGTCAGATGCCTGCTGGGTCTCTGGCCTTGATTCAACTTAATATTGAAAATATCTGGATTGCTAACTTCTCTTATTAATGAAGATTTCTTTTGTTCTATCCTTTTTGTATATCGTTAGGGTGGAGATCAACAGTTTTGCACAGTTTTCCATTTGTATTTTACAAAAAGAGTAATATGTTGTGTAATTAATTAAGACAGCTTACATACAATCCATTTTGAAATTTACACACGATTGTACTTTATGCAAAAACCAAACTAGTTACTTCTGAAACATTCACACATTTTAATGCTATCAAAACTTGAAACTACAAATAAATTGATTATAAGTATTTACTATTAATTACTAGTAATGTTTAATGTGTATTAGCTTGGAGTCCAAAATTGATCTCTCAGAAGGAAAAGAAATTATGCTCATGCAGTTTTCCAAACATCTACCACTGCTAGCACTGTAATTTCACATCATTCCTTTAGATGGCATGTTTTGATAACAGCAGTCAATTTATCTGCACTTCTCTCGTGGAAAGTGTTTTTAATGAAATTTCTCTTTGAAATCCCTGCATACGTTTATTCCAAAAATTAATGAGTAAACAACTTGTAGCTTCGTGTTAACTAGTGTAGCAGGTGTATAAGGTGAAAGGCTATTCCAGTTTTCGAAGCACATCAATGCTAGTTTTGATATGTACAAAAACTGGAACTTGATACCCTGAAATCAAAAAATAACAGTAATTAAAAAGCTGTCATTTTAAAAAAAAAACAAAGAATCTGAAAATACTCCAGCCAAGTAA